GTAATTTCATATTAGTTCAGCTCCAGTTACTGGAGGAACCAACAAGAATGAGAATGGAATCAGTCCAACAGTACAGAATCCATAAGAAGTTTTCAAGATGAGTTTCCAGAAATGTTGTAATTTTTATAGCAAAATTTTGTTCTTTCTACTGTAGCTTCTTCCCCTCCAGAAGAGGTAGGAAGTGGCAGAAGTATAACCAAAGTGATCCTCCAGCCTCACCCCAGTACCATGAAGAGCTTGTCCGTACCTTCAGGAATGGGCAGTGCTCGGGAGTTCAGATCCATGTTCCCATTTCTGTGAACTTTTTTTGCATCCTGTGTTTTCTAAGGCAGTAAGACCACTTCATTTCCATCCACGCTCTTGATCAGATACTGTTAAATGACAAACAGCTAACCAGCTGCCTTTACGTTACCTACATACCTAAAATGACAAATAACCCAGCTTTGTATGCCCATTTAGTTAACATATTCTTAATCTGTTGCTGCCGATGTTCTTCAGAGCCTTTGAGAAGCATCCACCTGTGACCCTGTTTCAATATGGGGATTTTGCCAAAGGCAAACGCATAACAAATTACTTCTAGAAGGAGGTACCGTATTATTAGATCCAAAAATACCCTTTCCAGATACATTTCACACATTCAGTCTGACAGATTTCCTAAATGGCCATATTTTTGCTGAGGTGGTAATTTCTGCAACGTAGAATTTGATTTTGTGCAACAAAAATCAGGTTAGCTCGAAATCACTCTTTTTTTTGAACAATAATTTAGATGTGCATAACAATAATAGTTTTATGGCAGAATAGTCAGAATTTTTTTTTTCTGTTAGCATTATCTAACTAAGCAAAATGCCTGGGAGCCTACAGTAAAAACCAAACATCCCAGACAAGACTTTATACAAAAATTTTTCACATTCCTGAGGAAGATGCCATGGCAAGCATATGAAAGGAAATATTTTTCTCTATCAATCCAGGACATTGGATGAATTACTGATTTACCCAGAAACGTTGAATATATAACAATATATATGCTGAAAGCCTATAAATGGATTTGTCTGAGACTATGACAATACAGCTGAATTTTTTTTATACAAACTAAAAAAACCAATAAAATTAAAACCACAAAATGCCAAAAGCACAGCTGTTCCTTCCTAAATAGAATGGCATCTTCCATTTGCCCTCCTTAGGAAAGATCTTATTTTAAGAAAATATCTATTTAATTTAATTCAGTCTTCCTCTTGTCAAGCTTCATTTAAGGTCTTTTAAAAGCAATTATATCTCCTATCTTTTGATCAGGACATTGGAGCCTACTCTACTTTTTACTCAATCAAAATTAAGATACTGTGCTTTTCAATGAATTTACATTTAGATGTATTAAAATCTTAGCAAGAGAAAGTAGGGTTAAAGTCACATCCAGAGTTCAGGGGAGGATGAGAAAGACTGCAGATGAATGCTGATTAAACTCTCCAGCAAAGACTAACATCTTCCTTAAACACGAGAAGTGCCAATTCAGTGACATTACTGCAGCTTCCCTAAGTGGACACTACTGGATTCATAGAAGATGGAGCTGGAAAGGATTTTGAACTGTCTAATCCAAACTTCTTCCCAGAGATACTTCAGCTGAAGTGGAGAATAGGCCATCCATCAGTCAACTGCTGCAAATGGACGTTAGTGGCTGCCCTTACGTGGAAGCTGCTGGGAGTAACCGGATGACTTTGAAAACTTTCCAGTCCAGTTTGTCAGAAGATCATGGGACTGCCCCTGGGGCAGCATTTAGCAGTTTTGGGAATGAACAAGGACTGGAAGCCTCTCCAGGAGAAAGGAAAGTGTCTACATAAAAAGCTGGAGGCGGGGAGAGGAAAAAGAGGGCAGTTTAACTACAGAAAGAGCAGAACAAAGAACATGGCTGCAGCTGAGAGGGAGAACCTTGTCAAACTGATTCTGATCCACGAATCACACACAAGGGGGAGAAGTTTCTTAAAAGACTCCTGAGAAGACCTATCCTGTGTCTGAGAAATACTGAGATACAGAAAGCAGTTGCTCACTGTTGTTTGTAACCTTGCACTTCTGCAACCTATTTCTGTTAGGGCGTGAAACTACATGGATGTTGTGTTAGAAAAGATCATCAACAAAATTAAAATCTAATTGGAACATCGGACTTGATATAGGACAATTAAGCAACTGAAATAATCTACTCTGACTTCCAGTATGCTACAGAACGTCACAGAAGCTAATCCCTACCTCGCACACCTCAGAGCACATCCAGAACGATGCATCCTGTTTGGGGTTCCCAAGTAAAAGAGGGATGTTCGTAACCATATGTGAGCTGAATGGACAGCCCCGAAGGTGGTCAGGGATGAGAGCACTTGCCCTTGGGGAGAGGTTGAGCGAACTGGGCATGTTCAGCCTGCGGCAGGCTCAGAGGGAACATAAGAGCAGCTCTCCAGTGCTTGCGAGGAGGTTACCATGAAGATGGAGCCAGGCTCTTCACAATGGTGCAATGGTGGGCAAGAGACAAATTGAGACAAGGGAGGTGCTAACTGAATAGAAACCCCTTTTTCACCACGAGGCCAGCCAAGCACAGGTTGCCCGAGAGGCTACGCAGTCTCCATCCTCGGTGGTTTTGCAAGATGAGACTAGATAAAGCCCTGAGCGACCCGGTTTGACCTCAAGAGCTGCCCTTGCTCTGAGCAGGAGGCTGGACCAGAGACGTCTTCAGGTCTCCTCCTGCGACCTGACCACCACAGATCACAGATGCTCACGAGCGATCCTAGTTCGTGGCCTTTTACCAGCCCGAAGCGTACGAAACGCCTCGCTCTTCAAAACGCCCAAACCCGATGCCAAGGGCAGAGAGCCCGGTATACCGGGAAGCCTCCGCTACCTCTGCGCTACCCCCGTGCACAGCCCTCCCCGCAGTGGCTGCCACAGCCCTCCCAGCGTGCGGGGCGCGCCTGAGGACGGCAGGAGCCGACGGTGCCTCCCGGGGAGCCGGGTCCGATCTCTCCCGGGGCACCCTGCCCGCGGCTGGCAGCCAGGCACAGCCCCTCGCCGCCTCCGCTCGGGTGCCTCACCGCAGGCACCCCCGAAACTTCCCCGGCAGCCAGCGCACGCTCTTCCTCCCCGCCGGGGGAAAACGTGCTCTCGCTCCCTCCGTGCGGCGGGGACGGGGAGGCGGGCAGGCTGCCTCCCTCCTCCCCCCCGCCCCGGCTCGCCCGCCCGCGGAAGCCT